AAGTTCTACTGGGCAAAAATAACTGTAACTGATATTAGTTACAGTTACAGAAAAAAATGTAACTAGTTACAGCTACAGTTATTTAGTTTAAAAATGAAACTAGTTCCAGTTTCAGTTGCTGCAAATTGTAACTAGTTACAGTTACAGAAACTAGTTTAGTTAAATTTTTCCCATCCCTGTTCATGAACACCTTCAATTTACGAGACAAAAACCAAAATCGGTTGCCAGATATTGGGTCGATTAGGGAAAGAACTAATCTTTTCTGCAACTTTTTTGGAGTTTAGGCGACTTTTCCGTAGATTTTGAATTTTTTTTACTGATTTTCTCTGATTTTATGTTGATTTTCACTGACTTTCTGTTGATTTTCACTGATTTTCGTGACTTTTCGTGGTTTTTTGACTTTTATTGACTTTTTTGATTTTTTTACTTTTTTGCGACTTTTTCCTGAGTGTACACCGATTTTTCGAAGTGAGCTACCCCTCGGGATTACTTCTTGGGTTGGCTGAACCGGCAGAAGAGTCTCAGCAGACAACACGAGGCATGCTGCTCAGCGACAAAGCTTCCCAGGACTTCCACAGCCTCATTATCGCCAAGCGCCCCCGCCACGGACAGAACTTCTTTCGCCACAGCGCGTACACTTTGTAGGTCCCTTGTGGCTAGATCCGAGATCCACGCGCACAGGACTTGCACGACATTGCTGCTGTCTGCGCCCTCCAACGCTCCAGCCACGTTGGCCATGTCACCACGCAGCACCACCTCGTCGTTTTCCATGCGCGCGAGCATGGAGAGCAGCGCTGCCGAGCTAGGGCCCACACAGCCATCATCGAGGGCGATTGCAAGCATGATGGTTAACGTGCACATCCACTGCCCAATGTCTTTTTGGTCCGGCACGGGTCCCTCTTGGCAGCAAATCACAGAACACAACTTTCCAACCACCACCTCACCGTACTTCTTGTCTGTGGAGGAGAGTGCGGCAAGATTTTCAGCTCGCGACCTCAGGTTTTGTTCCGATCTCAGCTTGGGAATCTGGGCGCAAAGCTCCTGCACCTCCCTGACCCCGTCACCATCCATAAAGATGGCGAGGGGCAGCGCCTCCACAGCCATGGTGCGAACGGCGAGTCTGTCGGCCGGCTGGGCAGTAAACAGCAGCCACTTAGTGCAAAGGCAGACACCGTCAGCGTAGAGAAGATCCCTGGCTAATGACAGGGCCTCCTGCACCATGCAGCGGACCGCAGCAGGTTTCCCGCCCACCACGTCGTGCATCCATGCGCACAGCAGCCGCGCCGCACTGTCCCCGCTCGCACCCTGCAGCACGCCTCGCCGCATGGCCTCCGCGTGGCTGCACAACTCGACGTCCTGTTTGGCCGCCAACCTGCTCCCCTGCTGCACCATCCTTGCCAGTACCGCCTTGGTCACCACGCCCCGCTCGCCGTTGTCCAGGGCGGCCGCGAGGGTGCGCGTCAGCCCACGCACCAGCACGGGGACATTTGCGCTGGAGAAGAGCAGGCGCGCCTCGTTCATGGCGACGAGCCAGCTGCAGATTGTAGTGACCAGAGCCAGCCCGAAGTCTTTGTCAGTGGACGCCAGCGACTTCAACCAAGCGCCACGTGACGCGCCCTCCTGGGCAGCGCTGCCCATATCCGGGATCCAGCGGCACAGCTCCCGCACCACGCCGGCGCTCTCGCCATCGGCGCCACCGCCCGTTAGCAGAGGCTCCACCGCCATAGCGCGCAACTCCAGCTCGCCAACCTGGGCTACCTCCATGAACGCCGTGTCCTTCATATTCTCCAGCAGGACCCGCGTGACTTCCGCAGAGCCTGAGGCCTCCGCGCACCAGAATAGGGCCGTCCTACCGACATCGTCCCGCTGGTACACGCTGGCGGCCTGACCCGGCTTCTTGTCGAGGCGCTGCAGCTGCTCCTTCTCGCGCATCAGGATCCACTCCACGACGGCCACCGCCCCAGACATCACGGCCGCGTGCAGGGCTGTGATGCCGAACTCGTCCTTGTGCTGCAGCAGGCGGAGCTGGTAATCTGGAACAACGGCGTTGTTGGGAACAAGGACCTTGACCACGGCCAGGTTGCCGTTCATGGCTGCAGCGTGCAGAGGGGTGTGCTTCATGGCCGCACTGTAACAGGAGGCACCGTGCTCCAGCAGCCACGCCGCGAGGCTGGCGTGGCCCTTCAGCGCGGCGTAGTACAGCGGCGTCTTATCCGAATCGGAGGCATCGCTGACATTGACATCTGCACCCTCCCGGACAAGCAGCTCCACGACGGCCAAGTGGCCGCCCTTGGCGGCGCAGCACAGCGGCGGCAGAGCCTCGCTTGCGCCCGTGCGCAGCGAGTGGCCGCTGGGGATGCGCTCCAGAAGGGCAGCGACCACCTCGTGGTGCCCAAAGCCGGCCGCCACGTACAGGGCCGAGTTCTTGTTCCCGTCGCGGTGTTGCGGGTCCGCTCCCCTCTGCAGGAGGCAGCGCACGACTTGTGGGCGGCCCAGGGACGCCGCTAGGTGCAGGACCTTGGCGCCGTCCCCGCCATCCATGTCCATGGAGGCGCCCCGCGGCCACTCGTCCAGCACCGCGCTCAGGATGTCCTCGTCTCCGCCGCGCACCGCCGGCTCCACCGCCTGGCGCATCTGAGCGTCCCAATCCTTGGGGCGCCGCCGCCTGAGCTCGTCTAGCAGCGCACGGAACGCGTTTGGCCTTCCCCCGCGCGCCGCCAGCTGCAGCGCGACCCAGCAGTCCGCGGTGCCAGCCCCGGACAGCAGCAACTCCACGGTAGGGGCACTGCCCGAGCAAGCAGCGGCCTGGATAAGCGGCTGCGCGCCTCGGGGAGTAGGTGCGCTCGACGCGTCCGCGCCTCCGACGCCGCGGTCCAGGAGGAGCTTCAGGGCACCGGCGTGGCCCCACAAGGCCGCATGCCGGAGCAGGGACCTGCCCGCCTCGCTCTTGGCGCTGAAGAGGTCGGCGTCGTGAAGCTGGTCAAGCAGCACGCCCAGCACGTCGGCGCGCCCGGCCAGCACGGCGGCGTCCAGGGGGGAGCAGGATTTGCCGGCTTCTGTAAAGAGCAGATCAGGTTGTATCCTTTCTGGAATGTAAACAAGACAGACGAAACGCGATGTTCAAGGATGAAGACGGCCGAAGTGCCCCCAAAATCAGAGAGTCTGGAAATACCATTAACAACAGTTTTGAACTGTTATCATTTTCCGGTAATAGTATAGAACAGTGACTCAGAGCCGATGAATCACTCTTCTATACCATTGGAAAGGGCTTTTTGAGTATAATCCGGAACACGCTCAATTTATTGGCGCTCGAGTCTGGTTTTCCGGAAAATTAAATAAATATACGTCGCCGCTAACCTTCAGACGGACTTTGAACACGACAGAATAACTTACGTTATTACGGCTGGTCCTGACATTGGTCGGGCCGGCTGGGGTTTTTAAAACATTGCTCATGGATCAAAGACTACGTCTGATTCAAAATATCAAGCTTTCTTTCACTACCGTTGCTTAGATCACAGTTTCCACGCTTCGTCAAAAATGCCTTCTGCTCGGCGTGGCGTGGTCCTGCCCAGAGAGGGGGCCGAGTGCCGGCTCCTGCGAGGCTCCGTACCGGTGAGGCACTCGGCCGGACGGGCGCGCCTTGTTCTATCAAATATCAGTATGAGACTGTTCTTAATTCTACATATTTTTATACTTTTGATTCGCATCTTAAAGACTGGCGGGACACAGAAAACGGCTCATTAGTAATGTGTTAATGTATTTGTAACATCGTAAGGGCGGTGCATCAACTGCGGAAAATGAATTGTGGACTGCAAATTTGAACACCCAGTATCAGCTTCAATGAAATGTCCATGGAGTTCCCTCTCCTAAAGCGAATAATTTAAAATGTTTTTTGTGGTTGGCATCAAACTGCAACAAAACCTTTCATATTGGGTGCTCAGCAACATCGGTATAAAAATGTATTGCACCAAAAATTCAGTACTAAATGAATGAAACAAGCTGGCTTCAAATTTTGTCCGCTGACTATCCATTCGTGCACTTAGGGGGGTAAACGTGTGAATTTTTCCTAATAAAGTCAAACGTTCACCCCTCTAAGTGTACGCATAAATATTCACACAATTGCGTTTCCGGTGTGCGAGCGACTCGCTTCAACTGCTGCACGTACTGTGAAACCGCGACAGCTTCTCCGCGACGCTGGCACTGCCCGCCACGCACAGGGCCGTCCCTCCCATCCAGTCTGCGGAGCAAGGGTCCACGCCGCCCGGGCTCAGCAGCCAGTCCACGACCTCGACCCGGCCGGCGTCGGCCGCGGCGTGCAGTAGCGTGCGTCCCCGGCAATCTCTGCTGAGGGCGTCAGCCCCGGCCTCCACGGCGGCGCGCAGCTGGCTCAGGTCGCCTGAATGCGCGCAGCGGAACGCCTCGTCCTTGACGCGCATCAGGCCCAGAACGCGCTCGGCCTCCGCCCTTGCCTCCTGGAGACTGCGTGCGCGCGGCTGGGCGCCACGTCGCAGGTTGACGAGGCCCTCCTCGCGGAGCACGGCGTGTAGCGCATCGAGCTCCTTGCCCGGCGAGAAACATGCCTCCAGCAGCTCGTCACCGCCACGGCTCAGGTAGCTCTGCAGCTGCTTGCCGAAGAGGATGGGCGAGAAGAGGTCGAGCGTAGGCGAGGCCGTGTCGTGCTCGTGCCAATGCGTCGCCAGGACCAGCAGCAGGCCACGAACGGCGGCGTCTCTCCCCGCGTCCTGCGCTGGCGCCATGGCACGCAGGGCAGCAACGCTGCGGTCCACCATGTCCTGCGAGGGCGGCGTGCCGTCCAGCCCGGCCTGCTCCAGCTCGGCCGCGCAGACGCTGGAGAGCGGAGAGTTGGAGGTCTTCAGCAGCGTGCTCGAAAGTAGGTCGCCGCAAAAATCCCGCAGCACGGCGCCCATCGCCTTGCTGGTAGGACTCCCAAAGGCTATCAGACGAGCGCGAGTAAGTGCGTCGATGTTTGTAAGGTAGGTTTGTATTTCGCCCACCACTACTGCGTTGTAGTCTGGCAAAGGTTTGACCAACAAGCTGCGCATGTAGAACTCGCACATGGGGTGCACTTGCAGCTTTGGTCTTAATTCATAGACGGCCAACGCCCTTGCCAGGTCGGTCGGTTGTTTGCTTTCAGGTTTCCAGTATCTTTCCACTAGATCGGCCTCCGCCATGGCCCACAGCTCCAAAACCACCGCCCTCAGCATCAGCAACTTGTTTCGAAGTATTTCCCTAACTTCTTTTGACCTCAGACCAGCCGAGGTATCCTCCTTCTCGTCGAGATATGCTGCAAACAGTTGGATGGCTTCCGCGTGGCGGACGGAGAGGTTTGCCGATCCCCAGGAGTACTGCATACGCCTGTCTGCCTGAAACATTCAATTTACCATGTAGCTTTCAATTTTCCATTCCTGCCAAGGCACTGATTGTCCACCTTTCCAAATTTATTCTTCTTTATTGGTCATATTCATGAAAGGATAATGACCAATGTTTAAAATGTATTGGAATTTGGACAAGAAACAAGGTAATTTATCTCCCCGACTAAGATTTTAGTGAAAAGAGATATAACAGACAATTTTTAATTCCTAAAGCAACAATTTACCAAGTGGTTCAAAATTCTACTGGTACAACTAGCACGTCACTAGGGCATCGAACGCGATTGTTTTCATTACTAAAGGATTGTTTAACAGTAACAAATAGTATCTTTCCCCGTAGTGATGTGTAAGGTATGATGCATAATTTTGGTTCTCTTAGCAAATTGTTTGCACCTGCAACAAAAAATTGTCTATGTTAACAGGCACGTTTAAACGTGACATGTCCTAACAATTGTTATGGGACACTTCACTCTCATTTTAAACAATTAAGAGTTCTTTTGGGTTAGTACATCTGGTAAAGTATCCTAAAAATATTGGTTTACCTGTGAGAGCTCGCTGCAAAGCGACATCAAACCCCATTCCTTCCACTCTGAGTCGGACAGTTTCAGGGAGGCAGCGGCGACGGTGAGCGCCCCCCAAATGTATGACAGTGATTGGACGTCACGCAGCACCTGGCAGTCCCGATACAGACTGCTGAGTTTCCCACTTGATTGTAGGATCTCGTTGGCATGGGTCCTGAAGTCTATCGCTGGTTCGGCGCTCAGCTCTTTGAACTTTGCTGCCTTGTCTCCGCTGTAACTTCGCAAGCTCGAAGCCAACTCGTTGACGTTCCATCTGAAGGTGTTCAAGTGGCTCAGTGTACTCTCTGCGCTGAACACTACGAATGCCCAGGAGCCATACATAGTTTGGGTTTTCACGAAGGACACCAGATAGTACTCCCAAAACTCCCATGGCACCTCCTTGGACGTCCTCAGCAAGTCTGTCTTGACCGCGCGCACGGCCAGAGCCGTTAGCACGGCCAGGGTGACGCACTCGTCGTCGACCTCTTCTCTTGTCAGTTTTTCTTCTAGTCTCTGCGCGTAGTCCAGTACAAGGTCGAGCTGGCGCATCAGGTCTTCCCAGTTCTACAGTCAAAATAGAAATGTCATACAACTGGCCTGACGTTGAATACTGTTAAAAACTTCTTAGGATTTCCCGAAGATTCACTATAAGCCACTACTAGAAATTCCCAGAGATCTCCGTTCTTAATTTTCATGCCGTAAAACAGCTGTTAAAGGCAGCAAGTTTTTAGTCGTGTATGTGTTTCAAAGCTAAGGTCGTCACGTGAAATCTACGTAGTCCTTTGGTAAATCCCAAGAACGACTTTGGCTATATTTTTTACGACTTCCTCCGTGAAATCACAGAATTTTTTCTAACAGCGACTGCCACAAAGTTAATTCGGCGAGAAGATAAAAGCCTCTTAGACAAATTTGGCAGTTTTTAGTCTGTTTTGTGCACACTTGATAAAGTATGAAAATGAAAAACCTTTCAGGGCTGGAGGTTAGGATGAACGAGCCGTTTTAAGTTTAAACCTCTATTAGGCGTTGAGGAATAAAAGGAGCCTACACCAAAACGATGTCTACATCGGCGTACACGCCCACTCTTCTGCCAAACGCCAAACCAAGTTGCCCGCTCCACATCGCTCCACTGCCAACTCGGTTCAGAAGGAAGCGGGCCTAGTCGTCCTGCCGGCGCCGTTGGGACGGGGACGGGGGAATTTTTCATTTTGCGGTATGAGATGTCATTGGATAAATGGGCCTTTGGCCCGTTTTAGCGGATTCAGTTAAAACCACCTTTTTGCCAGGTAAATCTTTGCTGTCTACAAAGAGTCTGCTTCTTTCAATAAAAGAAAATCTTTGGGGCTGAAAAAATTGAATTAGCCTAACCTGACGTTTTCAGTGGAACACGTGCGTGAAAGGTCTCCTTTGCAATTAGGAAGGAACGAAGAATAAGATTTCTTTCGGATGTTTCGCGCCATAAAAAGGTGTCTAGGCCATAACAATACGGTATTCCGCTGCAATCCAACCGGAACCTGAAGAAGAAAAGTATGACTGCCCGATCTGTTTCCTCCTGGACGCTGATTGGTCAACGATGACCTTGTCATGCCGGTCAGCCAATGAGCGCGCAGAGGGAAGCAGATCAAGCAGTCATGCTCGTCTTCTTTAGGTTCCGGTTGGCTTGCAGCGGAATACCCTATTAACTGCAATATTCGACCGTTCTCTTCAGCTAGTGTCGGAATTCGTTTTGTTTTTATGCTCAACAATGTAATTCCGACAACTAGAAACTAAATTTACCACCTTTATTATTACTTTCGAGTACTATGTTCAAAACACCAATGCAGCATTTTCAGCTGAGTATTTAAGTATTTTCCTATCGCCCATATCTCACCCAAAGACTGGTGCTACACACTTTACTGGCTTTATGTACGCCAGACCACGTCTCGCGTAACAGGCTTCGCGCTCACGAAAGACTGTTACTCTGCGACGCGCCTGGCGCACATATAGGTAGGCCTGCGGCGCTGACACCCGAGACAAGTGAACAGGAGTGTATACGGAAATAGGGCCTTTCGGCTTCGGCCTCCAAATTTGCCATGCCAACAGCATTTCAGGGGGACTTATTAGTCTAAAATTAGGGAAATGAAACCTCTGATATTCGATAAAGATATTCATTGGCTGGGCGATTAGCGAAGCCCATCACTCCACTGACCGAAAAAGCTTCATTCTGTCGGTCTGTCTGTTTGTCTGCCTGTATGCACGATAACTCGAGAAGGAATAAAGCAGTAGCATTCCGGTAATGCTGAAATGCAGAAGAATGCGGGGAAGAAGAAAACGGAAATCGCTACGCTTTAACACAGTGACTTCCGCTTTCTTGTCCCTTGCATTCTTTTGCATTTCTGCTTTACCGAAATGGTTTAATGAGATAGCGATCTGAGAATTTCAGGGTCGTTTTGTATAACTAAAAGACAGATCGAGCTCGAAGATGAGCGCTCTAGCTAAAAATTGACTTTTAAAAAAATCAAAAACCACAGGTCGCAAAATGAATTTATATCGAATATTTTTTAATGGGTGTCTAAGGGTTAACTCGTCAAAGCAGATCTCTTCGGGCGAAAATTTCGTCCGTTTTGCTGTATCTTGTACCCTTTGGGCGCTAGAGATCATTCCTTGACGAAAATAAGGTAAGGAGACCATTCGGTCATTTTCACAATATTTTCGTTAAGAAATGATCTCTAGCACCCAAACGGTACAAGATAGAGCAAAACGGACAACATGTCCGTCCAAAGGCTCTACTTTTACGAGTTGCCCCTTAGAAACCTATAGAAAAATATTCGATTAAAAATACATTTAGAGACCTGTGGTTTTCAATTTTTTTAAAGGCCAACTTTTGAGCTAGAACGCTCATCTTCGTACTCGATCTGTCTTTTTGTGATACAAAACGACCCTTAAATTCCCAGATCGCTATCTCAATTCCTTCTCGAGTTATCGTGCATACAGACAAACAGACAAACAAACGAACAAACATAATGAAACTTTTTCGGTCAGTGGAGTAATGGGCTTCGCTAATCGCTCAGCCAACAACCATATTGTCCCATAACTTTAAACTTTTGAAAATAATTTTTCTGTCTATTTTATTATTCCGGAAAACTACGAGCCCCACCGGGGACTTACATACTTAAATGTCTGTGAAACTTTGGCAACGAAATAATCCAGTCGAGAGATAACACTCACTTGCAGAACGTCGGTTTCTGGGGCAGAGTCCGGAGGATTGAGATTTGAGAGGCAATATCGTGTTTGCACCTGGGTCGACCGGACGCTAGCTACAAAGTCGCTGTCGAGTGGCACGAGCATCGCCTTTACCGTACTCCATGCCTGCGCAAGACGGTCTTCAAACAGTCTCCCCTCCCCTTTGTCTTGAAGCTTTGTGAATTGGTCACTTATCTCGATCACGGTCTGCCCGTCTTGGTCTCGTAGGGCTCTCAATAAAATTTCATAAAGCTTGCTTTTCTCTGGTGCAATTCCTTGTCGCAGTTTGTCCACCACTTCGGCCCTTGTGCCCATCCTGTCGAAAAGAAACAAACATGATAGCAAAGACAAGTTGATAATCTTACTTCGAATGAGTGGCTTTGCAGAGGTAGTAACTCAACCAATTTTCGATTTGCAAGCAACCCTTTTCTACGACTTTGCATGCAAGAGACTTAACCTTTAATTTCGTCAAAAACACCTCCTGCTTGCGTCTAAAGGGTGAGAGAAAGAGCCAAACCGGACAAAGTTGAGGACAGGGGGTTATCCTGTGACAAGTTACCGGGCTGAACGCCATTAAAAATGTTCTCCACGAAATATTTTTTGAGACCTGTTCCTTCTTAATGTTTAAAGGGGTCAATTTTTGAGATAAAATGCTTATCTTCGAGCTCGACATGTCTTCCGACCCTAAAGGTTTCAGGAAACGGTACTTAAAGAAGAAAAGCCAACCAATAGGGTATCCCTCTAGAGCGCGGAGCGGAACTAAGAAGAACAAAATCGGATACAGAGAGCGGTAGTGGGGGCGGGCGCGTGGGGGGTGGCAGGGGAGCCTCCCCGCCCGCTCGCCGCTCATCCACGCGCCCGCCCCTACCACCGCTCTCTGTATCCGCTTTTGTTCTCCTTGGTTCCGCTCCGCGCTCTAGAGGGATACCCTATTGTCCGCGAGCAGATCGGACCGGCATTTCCTTATAGGGCTCTTCCGGTTCGGGTAAGCGAAGCCGCGAAAGCGGAATGTCCGAACGGCTAGAGGGTAATCCGCTGCAAGCCAACCGGAACCTAAAGAAGAAAAGCATGACTACTCGGTCTGTTCCCCCCTTCGCGCTCATTGGCTGACAGCTTCACACACGCCATCGTTGACCAATCAGCGTTCGGGAGGAAACAGATCGGGCAGTCATGCTTTTCTTCTTTAGGTTCCGATTGTGTTGTAGCGGAATACCCTATTGGGTCCATCTCAGCCTGTGCAGTTTATAACACATCCACTTTTCAAAGTAACAGCTATTAGATTGCCCTATTTATAAATTTGTACTATTTGTGGAGCGCCCTTGAGTTCTACTACACTGCCTACGATCCTCACAGTCACAAAATTTTAATAACAAGAAAGATGTACGGCAGACCACCTCTCGCGTAACAGGCTTCGCGGTATCTTACGAAATAGTGTTACGCTGCGACGTGCCTCGCATACATCTACCCTGGCTTGCGGCGCTGACACCCGAATCGAGTAGAGGAGAAGTGTACACAAAGAAGAGCCTACGGCCCACCATTTTCGTCTAGCATAGAGATCCAAAAAAACCGTTTTTTTTAAGTGAAAGTAAAAAACCGGTAAAAAACCGAGTAAAAAACAGTAAAAAACTGTTTTTTTGAATTTTCGTCTTGTTATCAAAATAGTTCCCAAAACGATGTTTTTTCAAACTCTTTTGGTTTCACTGCACTTATAAGTGTAGGACCAATGTGTACTGCAGTTTAAAGTGTAGGACAGACGTGTTCCAAGTTAAAAGTGTAGGGCACCATTGTACCTCAGCTATAAGTGTAGTACAAGAGGTGTCCTACACTTTCAACCGTAGGATACGTCCAGTCCTACACTCGTGGACTCGTGGGGGCAATAACTATAAATTTAAGTGTGCACATAATTCCATGATTTCCGTCGTGATTCTCATTGATTCCCGCTGGTTCCCGGGCCGAAGTGTGTGTGTACCGGGTGATTCAGAGCACGCGCCGCCGTGTTGCGGGTTTGCCTATCCTCGACTCGGCGGGCGCACGGGTGAGAGGTGAGGAGGGGACCCCTCACCTCTCACCTCTCATCCGTGCGCCCGCCGAGGATAGGCAAACCCGCAACACGGCGGCGCGTGCTCTGAATCACCCGGTACACATGAATCCCAGAGTTATTGCCTCCTCGCCTACACTTTAAG